TCTTTATTTCTTAATTATCAAATCAACTATTTTATCTTCTTTTCAATTCTTCATTTTTAGATTCTAGTTGAATAATCTTTTACTCATACTTTTATAAATTTAACATATTTTATTCATTAAGCTTCAGAATTAGTCAAGGCTTTCTTTATTTTTAGTAACTCTAGCATAAAACTTTTATTATCTTATTATAGCATAATATCTTTATCTTCAATAGTCTTAATCTTTTTCATTGACTATTTTCTTTAGAATTATCTTCTGTTATAAATATATTAAGTAGAATATCTATAGCAACAATTTGATTATAATACTTTTCACATATTGAATAATTTTCTAAAGAGTTGCATAATTTGAAAGATACTTAGCAAAAAAATATTTATCTAATCTGCTGCTGCCTTCGTTGATATATGGGAGTGTTTCTAGAAAAATCAGGTTCTAAGAAATTTTTGATTAAAATTTAGAGCTTAATACATTTTAATCTAATAACATCAAAAACTAAAATGCAATAAAAATCTCAATTTTGCTAAAAAATTCCCAGAACCTGATTTTCCTAGCAATCAACCCATATATTGACATATTAAATATATTAACTTATTAACTATATTAACTAAATTAGACATATTTGATATGTTAGATATATTAGCTATATTAAATATGTTTGATATTTTTGATATTTGTATTCTGCCACATATTTGTAAATCTGTGATCATTAAGATTAATACTCAGTCATATTATTTAATATTAGATGATCTGCTTCATATAATATAAAATAAATAAATTCAGAATCATAACATATTACTTTGAAATTTTTTTTTAAAAAAGCTAAAGTAATTATTTTTATGTAATTTTGTTGAAAAAATGTCAGGTAAACTTGAAGTTATTAAACCTATTGAAGTAACTGAGTTAGAGTAAAAAAATAAAGGTAGAAGGTCACACATGATAATATAGAGTTTCCAATAGTGCAACAAAGGGGAAAATCATTAAAATTGAAATATCATATTTTAGTTGACTTAAGAAAATTAATCCAGAAGTTAAAGAAACAGTATTATAAAAATACATTGTGATAGGTAAAATTTTAGATAGATTTAATTGGTAGAATATGAAGTCAATTTTATTGCATGTAAATCTTTTATGAAGATCATTTTATCCATTTTATTGCCATTGATCAATTATGTAAATCTTTAGATGTCAATTTTATTGCTTTTGATAATTATGTAGATCATAGATATCCATTTAGTTATCTGCAGATCTGATAATTTTATTGACATGGTAACTTCATTTTATTATTTATCCAGCATGTATAAATATCTCTGTATTTTCTTTAAGTCTCATTACTGATGAGATGTTAATCTTTTAGATACTGATCTTATATTATATTAATAAAGGAGTATAATTAACTAAGTATAAAACTTATCTTTTGCAAACCTTTTTGAAACTGTTGTAAATTACCTGTGACCTTTTGCATTCATGCAATCCCTTTAGTTATTGTTAGTAAACTTATTATACAATATTGTATTGATTCACTTTATTAACTTAGAGTCTCTAAAGTATAATCTCTGAAATATTTTTGAGTTATCTTTATATTTATTTTGTATTTATTTCACGTATTTTATATTGAGAATAATTCTTTAGCATTCTCATCCATAATTTCTTGAGTAATTGTCTTAGTTTTATTTACCCTTTTGAGATTTTATTTAAAGTTACGAAACTATCATAAAATTTTGGTGTTCCTTATAAGAATCAAAAATAATAATCAAATACGATTTATATGAGTATTCAAGAACTATTAAGATTAGAAAAGAATATCAACAACATAACCTACTACTTGAAAGAAATTGACATTGAAATCTTTCTAGTAACCAGAGAATTACAACAATAATTGGATATCTTTACTGAACTTCTTAGCTATATTTATATCTATCCTGATATTAGAAGATGAATTAGAGGATTAGTTGCTTATAAAAGAAGTAAATTATTACTTGACGTAATCTATTTGGTCAAATAGGAAGTCAAGAAAGAATTAAAAGTTCTTAACAATCACTTATTCAACCTATATAAAGACAGGAATAATCTATTAGAAATCAGAAAAAACTTATTAGATTTTAGAGATTTTTACTAGTAGATGAATTGTAACCTATACAGTAAAATAAAAAAACAACATTCAGATGATCACTTCAAATATTTAGAACAGACACATCTTATAAAATCTTTTAATAAGTTTTGTAAAATTTATCATTGACCTTCTAGAAATCTAAGTATTCAATTTCAAAGATTCTATTAGTGGATTCATTAATAGTATCATACATATATATATTTGTCTCTAAGTGAACAATATTTTGAAGAAATAGGACAGTATTTTGACATTCATAATCCTTGTAGTCTTGATACTAAACAAGTAGCAAAAACAGCAATATTTTTAGTATTTAGCCTTAGATTTACGTGTTACTTTAAACCAGAAGTAATATATTAATATATTCTTATCACCTCACATAACACTAACTACTTTAATTATGGAGAAACTCTTCACTAAATCTTGCAAACATGGTTATGACAGCAGACTAACTTAATATGTTAATAACGCAAATTATAACTAATATAACCAATAGATTTAATAGTATTAATATTCTAGCACCACCTGCAGCAGGAAGTTTATTGTAAAAGTTAACCCTTTCTATGAAAAAGACAGTGAAGATGCTCAGGAATGAATTGAAATGTTTTTAAGAACAAAAGAAGCTAATAGATGGTCAGACAATAGAAAAGTAGCAATTGCAGTAGGAATGTTAAGAGATGAAGCAGCTGACTAGTATAATCTAGTAAGCACTGCCATTAACAGATGGGACAAAGATGCACATATAGGATTTAAAAAAAGATTCTTAGCACGCTTCTTATCTCAAGAGAAATTACACAGATGGCAATATGAATTAATGAATCTGAAACAAGAAAACAAAAAGGTAAAACTTATACATCTAAATTTAAGAAGTTAGCAAATAAAGTAGATGCAGGAGAAATTCTAAACACCTTTAAAGTGTGAATGTTCTTAAGTAGATTAAATAAGGAATTAGCAACTTTAGTCACAATTCAAAATCTAGCTGATTTAGATGTTGCTATTTACTCAAGCTAAAACTGTTAAAGCTGAAAGATATTATGCAATGAATATGATTTTAGCAAGCCAAAAGTTGATGATAACATTAAAAAATCATCTAAACAATTTGAACAAATAGCTTTGAATCAAGTAAAAATTATGGCCGCATTAACCAATAATCCAGCTGAAAGAAAAATTACAATCCTGAAGGCAAATTAAGAAAAGAATTAATCTGTTTTAGATGTGAAGAAAGAGGTCATATAGCTAGACAATGTCTCTCAGAAAAGGATTTACCTTAAGAGAACTGGAGAAATAAAAATGATGATCAAAACAGAAAGGAAATAAACATGTTTGAATAAGAAATCTTCCTTACAATTAGGAGAAAAAGATCTGAATCACAAAGAGAAACTAATACCAAATGAACTTGATCTCAGACAATTAATGAATTAATGGAGATAACTGAACAGATATTCCAAACAGTAGTAGACAATACTACTAAATCTAAAAAGAGAATACCTAGAGGACCATCACTTTTAGATAACATTAAACCTTACAATATTTGGGACAATCTTGTGAACATTAAAGTCAATGTTAATATAAGACAAATGATGCAATTTAGATTACAGTAACAAAAACTTCTTCAAGGAATGAGAAGACCTATATTAGAAAAAAATGCAACATTTACCAATTTTCAGAAGAAGAGGAACGAATTATAGCATTGAAATATCATGTTAAAATTAAGAAAATCCCTATAACTTCTATTATCGATACAGAAGCTGCAGTAAGCATCATGATGCACAAATTGATGAAGAAACTTGGATTAGATATCAATTAACCTTCACAAATAATCATCATTACTGCAAATAAACAAAGAGAAAGAGCATTAGGAACACTTAAAAATGTGCTATTAATCATTCAAGGAATTCTTATCAAGATGACTTTTTAAGTTATTGATTCAACTGTTCAAACCTTATTATTAGGAATCGATTAATATAAGAAAAATAAAGTTAATGTTGACTTTGAAAATAATAAAATGATTCTTACCTCTGGATTAGACAAAGCTATAGTTCTAGTACAATGTGTAGTTGGAAAAAGAATTTAAGCTGTAACCATTGAGGATGAACTCAATGAAATGATTGAGCAAGAGGATCTAACGATGCAGAAGAAACAGATAGCTATATCGTTAAAATTGAAGAACAAGAAGAAGATACTGGCATTTAGAATTAAGCATAGGAAAAAGATTTAACTCAATCTTAGGCTAATGAAGTAAAAACATATGAAGAAGAAGTTAACAATCCCAAATACGTATTCAATATTTTATATGATAAAGATGGTATATTTCTCTTAATTAGAAAAGGAGAAGTCATGTATGGAATGTGACAATCTTCTGAAAGGAAAGTAAAAGAGAATGAAAATCCAATAAAAGCAGCAATACAAGAAACTAAAGAAGAAACTGAAGTAAAAGTTAAGGAAGAAGTCTTAGAATATCTATTCAATAATTCAGAATTTAATTGCAATGTTTATGCTACAGAGATTCCTAAAGGAACTAAATTAGAACAAACTGAAGAAGATAAAAATGGACCCTAGATCTGTATTAGTTTTCTAAAATATGAAGAGATAGCTAAGCAAGGAAAAACTACCCCAACCCACATAACATTTATTAATGAAATATTGGATCAAATTGTATGGATATAACTTACCTAATAGTCTTGCAGAATCTATGCAAGTGGAAACTGTAAAAGAGGAAGTTGTGACTTCAAAACAACAAAAGAAAATTAACATTCTAATGGAAGAAAATAAAGACAGATTCATCACCAACATCTCTGAAACTGAACAATCAACTAGTATTAGAAAAACCAATATAGTTCAACATAAAATTGATACAAGAAATGCTGACCTAATTAAAAAAAATTATTATTAAATGACAAAGGAAGAACAAGAATTTATCAATGGAGAAATTAAGAAGATGCTATATGAAAGAATCATTCAAGCATCTGATAGTCTATAGGCATTACCTGCAATTCTTGTAAAAAAAGCAAATAGAAAGAAAAGATTATATATCAATTATAGGAGACGCAATAAATTCACAAGAGAAGATGCCTATCCTTTGCCTAGAATTGATGAAATCTTAGAAAACTTAAACAGAGTAAAATATTTCTCAACATTTGACCTAGCTAGTGAATTTTAGCAAATTGAAATGAATCCTAAGGATAGAAAAAAAACTGCATTCGTGATTAAAGGAGGACATTATAAATTTAATGTTATGCCTTTTAGTTTATATAATGCTCTAACAACTTTTCAGAAAATGATGAATAAAGTATTAAAAGAATACATTGACCGATTTGTAACAATTTTCATTGATAACATTATTGTTTATTCAAACAATTTTGAAGAATATTGTGAACATCTTTAAATGCTCTTCCATAAACTGAGGAAGGCAAATTTAGCCTTAAACAAAGAGAAATGCGAAATGTTCAAAAAAGAATTACAATTCTTAGAATACAAAATTAATGAATATGAAATCTTATCAGACCCTCAGAAGATAAAAAAAGTTCAAGACTTCTCTGTACCAAAGAATATGAGGCAAGTTAAAGGATTTCTTGGATTAGTATCATATTACCAAAAATTTATTAAGAATTTCTCTAAAATCGCTAAACCTTTAAATAACTTGATAAAGAAAGGAGTTGAATATGACTGGACTAAAGAATGTTAAAATGCATTTAAAACCTTAAAAGAGAAACTGACGCAAGCTTCAATATTAGAATATTCAGATTTTGATAAAATATTTTATTTATTTACTAATGCCTCAAAAATTGGATTAGGAGCTGTGCTTACATAAAAAAATGATCAAAAAAAGAGAAAGTAATTGATTATGCAAGTAGAACCCTTAATATATATAAACGAAATTATAGTACTTAAGAATTGAAATATCTAATGATCAATTGGGCAGTTGAATACTTTCATTATTATATTTCTTTAAAATTCTTTATCTTAGTAACTGATAATGCAGAATTAAAATAGTTACAAATTTCAACTGTGAAAAATATAACTAAAAGAGCTAGATGGTTGTTAAATCTTTAGCAATATATATTTCAAATTCAATACTGTTCAGAAAGAATAATACTAATGCTAACACTTTATCCAGAATTGATTCTGATAATAACGAAGATTCTGACAAAAATTATATGATTTCTGTATAAACTGATGAAAACTTTAATGAATCAGAAAAAAAGGAAATCCAATAGCATATCACTTCACCAGAAAATAGCGTAAAAAAAAATGATAGTGAATCTTACTTTGAGCAAAAATTGATGAATCAATTTGAAAATTACTTATTGATTACTGTTGGATACCAATGTCTAAAAGATTAAATGATCAAAATTTATAAAGAAAATATTAAAGTCAAGCAAGTAATTGCAAATCAATCAACTACTAAAGGAGACACCATATTATTCTTAAACAAATAGATTAGTTAAGTGATTTAACAAAACCTTATGTGAATCTAAATCAAAAGCGACAAAGAATTTACAAGAATAGGATAATGCTATAAATTCTGTTTTATTTGCTTATTGAACTGCAAAAAATTCTACTATGAAGTTCACACCCTTCTATTTGACCTATAAAAGAGAAGCAAGATTACCAATTACCGCTCTTGAAAATAAAACTCTAGAAATAAATTTGGAAAGCTTAAAAGAGAATAGGTAACAAGCAATAAAAAATATGATAAAGGCACAAGAAAAGCAAAAAAATGACATGACTCAAAAATTAAGCGATCAACTAAATTTAAAATTGGAGACAAAGTTCTTTTATATGACGCTGCTAAAGAAAAAACTTGGACTGAAAAATTGGAAAAAAAGTGGAAAAGACTATTCTATATCTATGACGTACTATTCAATGAAACATACAAATTGAGATCTACTGAAGAACGAATTCTTAGGATACCAATTAATGCAAATTTACTGAAAATCTATCATGATTAGCAAAATTGAAATCCTGTAATCTATGTTTAAGAAAATAAACTAGAAAATATAAAAGGATGCCGATTAGATCTTGAACCTCAATTTTCCTGAAAATGTTTGAAAATTTTCAACAAATGAGTCATTTCATAAGAAAATATTAACAAAATATCAAAAACGTTGAAAAGACTAATTACATACTAAAAGAAAATGATATCAAGTTACTTTTGATAATTATCGATCTCTGGAAAAAGATTAAGTCAAACAAATTGATAGATTTAATGGATGAAATGTACTAGAAAGAAGAACCTGTGAAAATTGAAATTTCAGAAGAATTCTTGTAAAAAAGAAAAACATAAAAGGAATATGCTCAAGAACTAAAAATTATCCCTATAGCCTTATTTAAGAGAATTAAAAGAAGAAAGAAAAATTCTTTAATAGAGCTCAAATCAAAGAAGATGGAAATATGATAGATAAAATTTTAGATAGATTTAATTGGTAGAATATGAAATCAATTTTATTGCCATATAGATCTTTTATAAAGATCATTTTATCCATTTTATTGCCATTAATCAATTATGTAAATCTTTAGATGTCAATTTTATTGCTCTTAATAATCACATAGATCATAAATGTTCATTTAAATACTTACAGATGTGGCAATTTATTGACATAGTAACTTTATTACCTAGTGAAATAGCAACTTTATTTCCTTTGATATATTTAGTTTAGTTTATTTTATTATTTATTCAACATGTATAAATATCTCTGTATTTTCTTTAAGTCTCATCACTGATGAGATGTTAATCTTTTAAATACTGAACTTATATTATATTAATAAGGAGTATAATTAATTAAGTATAAAACTTATCCTTCGCAAACCTTTTTAAAACTATTGTAAATTACCTGTGACTCTTTGCATCTGTGTAATCCCTTTAATTATTATTAGTAAACTTATTATACAATATTATATTAATTTGTGGTATTTACTTAGAGTCTCTAAAGCGTAATCTCTAAAATATCTTTGAATTATCTTTGTATTTATTTTGTATTTATCTCACGTGTTTTATATTTGAGAATAATTTTTCGATGTTATTGTGAATCCTCACCTGTGATTTCTTAAGTAATTGTTTTAGTTTTATTTACCCTTTTGAGATTTTTATTTGAAGTTACGAAATCATATTAACAATGTGAAAAATCTTCAGAAAATGTAACTGAAGCAAAACAAAATACAAATGATTAAAAAAATCTAGAAAATTATTTTGAAACTCAAGGTTTATCTAAATAAAAAAAAGCTAGAAAAGAAATATCACTTATTAAACTTTTTATGTATTATAGTTTTTCTTGATGTCTTGAATTCTTTATTGATTTTATTAAACAATTACATCTATCATATAATTTACCTAAAAGAAGAACTCTTCTTCGTGTTAGTACAAAAATTTACTAATTACTTGAGAAAGAAAGTAACTTAACTTTAAGTAAATATCAAATAAAATTGGTTTATTTACAATTTATTATTTATATTTAATAATAAATTAATAATTTTTTATATACTGTATGCAGCTTTAGTTGGCTGAACAAGTCCAACAGGAAAAACTTTGTGAAATTTTGTACTTTATACTTCAAATGGCAAGGATATTCTTTTGTATATACAGGATTTGTTAAATCAAAATCATATAGCTAAATATTTTGCTAAAAAAATGAAGCTATTTTAAATGATATTAGAATTCAAAGGTTTGTAGTAATTGTCACTGATGCTGGTTTAAATGTTAATTTAGCACAACAAATTATTAGTCAAAAATTTTCTCATATTATAAACATCTGATGTATAGCATATTGTCTTAACCTAATTATTATAGATTTTATTAAACATGCATTTGCAACTAGAATTCTAAATTGGTCAAGTGTAATAACAGTCTATTTTAAAAAGTTATTTATCTCAAAAACTTTTTGAAGATAAGATTAAAGAAAAGAATATTAAAAAAGGTAGCTTAAAAATATATATATGTATAAGATGGACTACAGTATATGAAATACTTCAATTAATTAGTCAACTAGAGATATGTTTAAAAGAGGTAATAAGTGAAAACCCTGATGTAATTACTAAAGATGCTGTAAAAAAATATTATAATGAGAAAAAGAGGATTTTTTCAAAATGTTCAGGATTTAGCAGCAATTATTAAACTAACAAAAAATTCTATTATCCAATTAGAAAGTCAAGATGCAATTCTTGTCAATTGTTTTTTTTTCACTTGCACAACTAGGTGCTGCTATAAAGAATGAATCAGATCATAAAATATTTCATCGACATTGTATCAAAAGTTTTAATCTTCGTTTTAATGAATTTGATTTTGATGAACACTTACTTGCATATTATTTGCATCCTAAGTATCAAGATAAATATTAAATAATTTTTATTTATATTTATAACTTATAACATTAATATCTAAATTTTAATTTATTTATATTAAATAGGAGTTGGAATTATTCAAGGACAATTTTTTGCGGATAAGTATTACAGCAGTAGCAATTTGACAACAAATAATGAGAATACCTGAAATTCTAATTATATTAAGGCAAAATAAACATAGTAAACGACAATCTGGTGAAATAATTATGGCTAAATTACGTGATTATCAATTATCTCAGCCTCCTTACAATACATCCTATAACTGTAATTTTGATAAGCCTCCGAAATGGTGGCAAACTTGTCAAATGAATCCACCATATCTTCAATATCTTGCGATTAAATTATTTTCAGTTTCACATGCCGCCAGTTGTAAACGTATTTGGTCAGTTTGTGGTTGGATTCACAGAACACGTCGCACAAGATTGTTAGTGAAAAATCTTGATGCAATAGCGCAGATCCATTCTTATTATATTGCAAATAATAAATCTGAATTGGCATATCATGATAAAGAAAAAACTGAAGAAAATGTTTGACAAATTTTAAGAGATGCTGCTTTATATGAAGATGAAGATGAAGTAATTTTAGATGAAATTACATTTAACGATCCAAATACTGATGATGATTTAGAAATTATTACTGAAGAACCTATTGAAATCGAAGAAACTTTAAATTTATCCAATTCAAGATTTTTGCAAGTTACAGAAAATAGTGGGAGGGCTAATAATAATGAACTAGAAAATGAACCATTTGATTTGGAAGCATTTTATCAAGAGGAGGATTATAATCCGACAGAGTTAGCAACAATGTTCTTAAATTAGTATTTCATTATCATAGGTATTTACAGTCTTATAGGTAGAGGAGGATGATGAAAGTAACTAGTAAATGAAATAATAGTAATAAAGTGTCCTAAAGTGATAGTTCTTACATTTTACATTTTACATTTTTTTATATAAGTCTATAGCATCGATTTCACGTTTACTAACATCGGAATCAGCTTTATTGTTTTATTTCGTCAGTCGTCTACGATTTTGGGTCAACAGTTTCAAGTTTCGGCATCGGTTTCGAGTTTCAATACCGGTTTTGGAAATCGGAATCGGCAATATAACGAAAGACGAAACCTTTCGGCTCAAAGTAAATAAGTTTCGGCACCCAACTCTAGTAACAAGTAAATATAAATAAATACTAAATTGTAAAAAAAAAATACTTATATAATCATATAACAATAAGGTTTTTTTGTCTTGAAAAAATAAAGCTTGGATAAATATGATAAATCTGCCTTAGAAAACGTTTTGAAAACATTAACAAAATTAACAAAAATTACAGATATATTTGGTAATATCATATGATGTCAATTGAGTCAACGTGGGTTGTTTGACCGGACTTGAATTTTTTCTCAAGTCAGAACTATCATTTTTATGATACGAATCCTAATTCAAAAAAACCCACTGGGTTAGAGTCACATTTTTGCTTGACCCATGATTTGTCGATCTGATTTAAATAATATTAATGCGCTAGGCTTTTTTTTACATTACGCGACTTTTAATTTGTAACAAATAAATAATAAGTAAAGTTATCGACGTTACCGATAGTACAACTCCTTCTAGAAAATGAAAAGCATTGCGGCGTGAACAATTACAGGCAGGTAAAATAAAATTATAGATTATTAAACATTAATTAAAACATTTTTTTATAAAGCAACAAGTGTTCTAATAGAATGAGTTTTTTCTGGTGAAACCTATCTGGTATCATCCAAAAGATGTGGTCTTAAAGCTAATTCAATACGCCTGTATGTGCTTGACATTCTGGCTAAAAAAGATGTAAAAAAAAAGAATTAGGATTATTTCCCACAAAAAAAAAATAATAAATTTTAAAAATAAAATAAACTTTATATAACACTTTTTTATTTAACGATATTAATATAAAATATTTATAAGCGAAAAAAATGCTCACGTTTTGTTTAACTTAATATATAGAAGTTTATTGTTTTCTATTTTTTAGGAATTTAACCAACAAATTTAATTTACAGCTATTTTTGAAATGACACGCTGCAGGTGACTCAGGCACAATGATCAATAATTTTTAAAAAAATCTTGCGCCCTTTCTTTTTCTTTAGATTCCTCTTCGAAATCGGATGATTTCTGTTAGAATAATTACTTCGGTGTTTTATTTTTATGCTACTCCAAAATTATTATATACTTTATTAATTAAACTGTATATAAAAGAAAAATTTTTGAAATAATTAAAAATAAAAAATATGTAAAATACTTTGATAAGATGAAATTAAATAAAACTAATGTGACCAATTAAACCATCGAAATTCGTTGAAATTCTCAAAATTATCTTGTAAAGTCTTGAAAAATAAAGAATTATTTTTTTTTTGTTTATAAAAAAAAAATTAAAATAAATAAATTTAAAAAGTAATAAAAAAATATAATGATATGTAGGCAGCGATGAATCGGGGCTAAAGTTGTGGGCGAAACCAAAATCTTAAGGTCGAAACGTTTCGGCTTTCAAGAACGAAAATCCGAAACTTTCCGATAATCCGAAACTAAGACGAAACTGGCGAAACTGGACGATATTTGGCGAAACTGGACAATACTAGCGAAACCTTCCAAAACTAGTTAGCCAATCAAAATAAATGCTGATTTAAACCTGTAATGCTAAAAATCAATAAATTAATATAATATAAACTAATTACAAAATTTATTTATTAATACATTGAAGTTGCTATATTGATAAATTAGGCTAATTAATGCGCTATTTTAATCATAATATACAATTAGCATATAATTTATTATTTATTAATTCGATACATCTAAAAACAAAAATTTCACGTTAAAAAAAGTAAAGCAGTTAAAATGAAAAAAAAACATATTTTGTACTTTATATTAAATGCTCCACAAAAATTACATGTTGCGTTCCAATTACCTTTTAAATTTTCTTTCCTTGTTGAATATATGTTCCCAAACTATTGATTTAGGTTTCCTACCAACTTTTCGTTTAGGTAATGAAGTATCAATTTTTTTTTTTTTTTTAGATTTAACGATGCATTACTGCGATAAGGTTATTTGAATTCAAAAAAACACGCACAATCAAGATACAGCATTCAAGAAACAAAATTTTAAAACTACCGCTACCCCCGTTGCTATATTCCAAACCTGTTTGAGTCGACCCCCCCTCCGGAGGTAATGAAGTATCATCGGTTGAAGTAGTTGAATTAGCCTCCATTTTGTAAGACGCGAATGCATTAATGTTTGTCTTACCAACAATGTTATATATTTGATTTTCACGTGAATAATTAAGTTTCGGAGAATTTCGTCAATCGGTAACTAGATTTCGGATTCGGATTGGGCGTAATAATCAGGTTTCGCCCGAACCTTTAATCGGGGCAGTGTCGAGGCGCATCGTCAAATCGGGTAAGTATTTAAATTTTTTTCTATGTATTAAACCACCGTCCATTAAGCTAGCGCGAAGCAACTCTTGGTCGAGTTCAGTAATCAGGTCGAGTTGAATCCGAGTTGAACAATGATCGGGTCGTGTCGAATTCGGGTTCTGTAATTATTAACGGGTTCAAGTTCGAATATGCCTTAAACCTGACCCGACCCGACTCTTACGGAACACTAAAATTTGGTAGATACATGAAGTAAATATAAATTCAGTAATTTTTTAAAAATGCAGTTTTATTTGGGATTGTTTGCGTATAAATGTTTTGGAATTGCCCAAGACCTGTTCTAAAGAATTATACATTAATGACGTATAGAGTTTGTTCCCTATGATCGATTTAAAGATATAGAATATGTAACTGAAGGTGGATTTAGTAAAAATTATAAGGTAACTTGGATAGATGGGAATATACTTAATTGGAATAATGTAAATTTAAATTTTAGACTGAGCGATTCTATATGCGTAATTCTAATAATAAATATTTCACTTCTAAGGAAATAAGTAAATTATAGTAAATTTAATCACAATTTATTTTAACATATATATTTAGCTTAAATGTTTTTGATGACTATAATATGTTTAGCAAATTAGCGAGACGAGGCGTTTTTGTCTAAGTTCATCCACGGTAGTAAAATAATTGATAGTCGTTTAATGAGCCTTTTATTTTTAATGAAACAAATCATTCTTCTAACAATTTTTTAGATAGTATTTAATATTCATGTATTATTAATGCCCAACTATACTAACAAAAATCATTCGAATGTAAGGACAAGAAGAAGATTGAAAGTATAGAAGTACTTACTATTACAAAGCTCATTAACTCTCTATCTCCTATTACTATAATTATGGATATCAACAGATTACTTTCGGTGCAGTATTGCGCAGAGATTTCTGCGTCACGTGTAACGAGAATGTTGTGGCAAAAAAAACATTAGTCGATCATTTGATGGCGCCTCCGAAATTTTTTTTGAATAAAAAGCTTTATAAGATTTTTGATAAATATTTCCAAGTTCCACGAATACTTAATCTTTGTTTTTTTTACCTGTTCAATAAATTTACTTAGAAACACAAGCTGTCATACAATATTGCATATGTAGCATATTGTAATCAATAAAGCTCCGATTTAAAATTACCTTATATAGACTTTTATTTTTAAAAAAAATTATAAATTGAATTGTCGTTTCTCTCCTTCTTTTTCCTCTCTCTTCCTCTTTCTCCCCTATACTTACCTTAAAAACCTTTAATTTGAAAAAAAAAAAAAATAGAAGAAAATATTACTAAAATGACAAGAGGATATTCATTAGAACAAGATTTGAGATTTTTAATCAATAACCCAAAATATAGTGATATAGAAATTATATGCAAAGATGAAAAGAAGTTACATGGTTGTAGAGCGATTTTAGCCGCAAGATCTGAAGTTTTTGATGCATTACTTTACAATGGAATGAGAGAAAGTTATGAGAAACAAATTTCATTCTCAAAGATTAATTCTTCAGGAATGAAAGTTATATTGGAATATGTTTATACAGGAATCGTTGAAGAGGAATCCTTAACCAAAGAAAATATTGTTGAAGCTTTTATTGCTGCAGATTACTTTCAACTACCCGACCTTCAAGAATATATTATAAAGTGCAAAAATAATTATTCACCAGAAATTTTATCTACGATTGTTGATGCAATACCATTGACAGAAGATAATATACTTTCCAATCTGTTAGTTGACACAATATCAGCTATTCCGTTATATACTATTGAATTTGGCCGGTTATCTGTTAAAGCACTTCAGGTTCTGTTATCTCGTACTTTTGTAAAGGAAAATCACTTTGTAACCCCAGAATATGAAGTTTTTCGGTATAGTGTTAATTTAGTTGCAAGACAGATTTCTAATGATGCGACAGAAACTCTTTTAAAGTGGTTACCTAGCTTAGAAAACATGGATAATTTTAAGAAAATTAATGATGAGCTTATCCCGTATCATCATAAAGTTGCCAAAGAATTAGAACCTCTGATAAAATTCATTGATTTTAGACGAATTAAAAGCCAAATATTAGCTGATATCATTGAGCCATTGAACATTATCCCGGTTGAAACGTTTCTAAATGTTTATAGATATAAGGCAACTTTAAATAATGCTGATTATAATGAAGTTCGTGGATTTTTACCAGACTCTTATTATATTTGGGATGAGACAGCGTGTGGTTCAAATCTTATTATTAAAGATAACGGAAAAGTTGTGCAAGCACAAAATGCCTGTACGTCACATCAAAGTGTTAGAGCTAAAGTAGCTTTAGAAAATAAAGGCATTTATGAGTGGGAGGTTATTTTTGAGAAATATTGTGAAGTTCCTTGGGTTGGTGTGTGTACATCAGAAAATTTTAATACTGAAATGTTTGCAGGATATCAACGTACTGGATGGGTGTTGAGTTCTTGTGGTACAACTTCTCATATTAGAATATCAACATTTGATTATTGTTCTTCATTTGTGGGAGATAATTACAAGGTTACTGTTCATTTGGATATGAATAAAAGGACATGTTCATTTACGGTCAATGGGGATAAATATCCAGCGATACCAGAATGGAATGATCTACCATCAAAACTTTACCCTGTAGTTTCTTTATCATTTCCTGGCCAGGCTCGAATTCAGAATTTTGTTATTAAGAAAATTTGATAGCAAAAAGAAATTCTACATTTCTCATCATTTATTAATATAAAATTATAATAAAAATTTTATTCATGTGATTTACTTAGTCTTAACATTTTCATAAACAATACTTGAGATTTAAAGGATGATAGTTTGATCATTTTCAATATTTTCGCCTTAACCTTTCGCAATATGCTCACCTTTCTTAATTGATAAATACTCATTTGATACAGTATGAATTACATCACCTTTCGTGCTAACTTCATTGTGAACACATTAATTCCTTGTGAAATTTGTGATGCAATTGAACTTTCATACGTAAATTATTACCTCAACACTATATCAAATATAAATAACTTTGGAGAAAGTACATAAAGTAAGTATTTTTCATACTTGTCTTCACTTATCGAGTGTTTGTTAATAAAATAAATACGTTTGATAGATAATAATTAACTACTTAATGAAATTTAACTCCAATCAGAAATGTAATCGATATGAAATAAGGATGCAAAAAAAAATACCACTCCAATTTAATGATCTATATATGAGAATCCATGATGACGTAATTTATTTTTATTAAAGTTTGAACCAAAGAAGGCAAATTAAATTACTTCTCAATCATGACGAGAATGAGCGTTTTATGTGTGATAATAATATGGTAAAATTTTCTAAAGTTTTTCGATAAGAATTGTTCTGATAAACATCCAAATTTTTACTGTATTTTTCTGTTTCTGGATCCAAAATTTTATTTTTATTAGAAAATGAAAAACGGGTATTCTATTTTTTCATTAAAGGCAAGGATTGTTCCAGAATTTACATATAGACAATATGATCGATCAACTTTGCAAAAAAAAAAATTACTCCTCTCATATAATTAATTTCTTTAATGTCTGCACAATTATTTCCAAAGTTAAGTCAAAATTATATTGAAATATTAGAGGATGATGAATGTTATGATATTACAATCTTAGTTGGAAAAGACCTAACGTGAAATATTCTGTTAACATATGAGTATTTTAGTTACCGTTCTCCATTTTTTCGACGAAGTTTGGCTTCCAAAAAACAGAAAATGATGGTACACTAGTTCATATTAAATTACCAAACGTTTTGTCAGAAAATATTTTGAAGTGAGTTTTACCTAAATTGTTATTTTCTTTTTTTCTTTTTTATTTTTTTTTTTGTTTTGCGGTGTAATTTGTGTGTGTTCAACTTTAAAATTAAATTTAAAAATGTAGTTTCATTAAATGAACAAGACATTTCAGTAACTTAAAAAATTGGCTGTGTTGATTTGCTTCTTCAAAAACTGGTTGAATATTTACAAAAATATTTAATCGAAATTAAAGTTGGATGGATTGAACAAAATTTTGAGATTTACTTACAGAATAAATTTTCAATCTAATCCTTTATTAGAGCTTCAAAAATAATGTACATATTATATAGCCAAATCCCTTAAAAAATATTCAAATCACTTGATCTTACTTCGCTTCCTGAAAAAATATTAATTTCACTCATTAAAAGAGATGATTTTCAAATGAAGCAAGTTGAAATTTGGAGCACGAATTAAAATGAGGTCATGAAAGTATACTACACTTTAATGCGGTCCGATGATGATTCAAATAATGGAGAGTATTTTACAATTTCGTTTGCTTTTAATTAGATTTTTAAGTTTATCTTCTGATGAATTCGTCCTAAAGTTCACCCATATAAAAAAACTTTTAAAACATCAACTTTATGAGAAACTATTTAATTTTTATCTGGATTCCAATAGTAAACCAGAATGATGGAGTTATTGATTCAACTAATGATAATTTAAATATCGTTTCCATAATTTCCAAATGGATTGAAGGTAGAGATCACTGGCAAATTTGCTTTCGCGAGAGAATTATATTTACCATAATTGTTACTAAAAGGAAGTTATAATGGGTTTACTTTCATGAATTATGTGATGATATACCTTATACAGTCACATTCATCAAAGATAAAGGAACGGAAGAAATACAAGGAGGATATAATCCATAAAAAATGTGAGCGGTTGAGCAAAAAATAGCTTGTATTCTCTTTTAATAATTTGGATAAATTTAACGTTTCAATTTTAAGCCATGTGCTACATACAAATTACGCATTTAATTATTTTGATATTTTGGATCCTACTTTTAATAACGATCTTTTTGTAGGATATAATAATTTCTGTCAGTTCTATGGAGGATTATGAAGTGTTTCAAATTTTGATATCTTAGTCAAATAATGGTTCACTACGTCAAAAATTTCTAACAAACTCTTTAATGGATCAAATATTAAACATCCTTAGATAAAATGTATGATATTAAAATATTAAAGTTTTATCGAATTTTGCATTTATTAATTATATGAAATTATAAAAATACAAGCATTATTTTATGACGATTTTAAAAAAAATTTTTTTAATTATATATAATTTATTTCTTATTTTGATTTGAAACAGATATGAATGACTTACTGTAATTGTCAGTCTCATGCAAGTACTCGTTCCAGTAGCTTTAATCAAAATAACAAAATAATCAATTGCTATGATAATATGTAAATACAATACTAGCACAGATTTAATTTTTATTTATATTCATTTCATCAATTCTATTTCTTAAAAAAAATTATTTTCTTTTTTTATTTATGAAAATAAAAAGCCATGGTATGAAATGCCATGATGTATCTTGAAACATCTTTTCAAACAACGGGAAATTATCATGAGAATTTTCGAATAGAAAATTATTCAATATTTTTTTTTTTCTGGACATCATCTTCAGAATATAACAGAGTTTAAAACAAAATTTTGTATACATATCCTAATTATGAAAATTTATAAATATTTCTTTTTTACTATTATTTAAGAATTAAAAATGATAAACAAAATTAACAAAAACAATTTTCTCGTTATAATATTTCTTAATTAAAATTAAAAAATCTTAATAATTAATTATAAAATGATAAAAACAGTTGTTCATAATTTACCAGGTAAATTCGATGGCGCCAGATGAGGCCCAAAGTACATTAAGCATACAATTGCTCGTTATTCCCATTGCGTTAGTTTTTATTCAAAAATATTCATAATTAATAATAAAGTTATTTATTTTTACATTTTAATTTAAACTTAATTTACTATTATATAAAATTTTTAATAATAATTAATGATCTTTTAGTTGGTAAATTATTTATATTTATTATAATTTATAAATAATATTTTATTAAAAAAACAATGTTAATAATTTAAATGATAAATTATTATTATTATTAATTCAATTAATTATATTTATTATAATTTAAATAAAAAATATTAATATTCTTTATAATATTACAAACAGTAAGTTATTAATATTTTTTATTATAATTTAAAGTCAATTAAATTTTTTATTTAAAAAATATTTAATAATATGATAAATAGTAAAATATTTTATTGATTATTAGTATTTAATTATATTGTTACTATAATTTAAAGTTAACTAAATTTTTATTTAAAAAATTAATTTTATTAGAGGATAAGTTATTTTTATTAATTATTAGTATTTAATTATACTTGTTACTATAATTTAAAGTCAACTAAATTTTTTATTTAAAAAATAATTAATATCTAATAATCTAATAGTTGGTAAATTGATTATTAGTATTTAATTATACTTGTTATTGTAATTTAAAGTCAACTAAATTTTTTATCTAAATAATATTATAGATTGTAAGTTATTTTATTGATTATTAGTATTTAATTATACTTGTTACTGTAATTTAAAATAAACTAAACTTTTTATTTAAAAAATAAATTTTATTAGTGAGTAAATTATTTTATTGATTATCAACATTTAATTATACTTGTTACTGTAATTTAAAAAAATAAATTTTATTAGGAAGTAAGTTATTTTTATTAATTATTAGTATTTAATTATACTTGTTACTGTAATATAAAATCAACTAAATTTTTTATTTAAAAAATAATTTTTATTAGTTCATAAGTTATTTTTATTGATTATCAGTATTTAAATTTTTTATTTAAAAAAATAATTAATAATATAATAGATGGTAATTTATTTTATTAATTATTAGTATTTAATTATACTTATTACTGTAATCTAAAGTCAACTAAATTTTTTAATTAAAAAATAATTAACAATATAATAAATGGTAATTTATTTTATTAATTATCAGTATTTAATTATATTTATTATTGTAATTTAAAGTCAACTAAATTTTTTAATTAAAAAATAATTAATATTATGATAAATGATAATTTATTTTATTAATTATCAGTATTTAATTATACTTGTTACTGTAATTTAAAGTCAACTAAATTTTTTATTTAAAAAAATAATTAATAATATGATACAGAGGTTGAAACTGGCTGAAAGTTCTTTAACCGGTTAATAACCGGTTAAAATATTTGTTAACTGGTTAATTAATTGGTTAAAATTAACTTTGGCCAGTATTGTAAATTTGGCCAAAGTTAGACAATATTTTGTCAATCATAAAAATCTTAATTCTGGCTGGAAATTGAATTTCGATCAGATTTAAATTCATCTATTTTAACCAGTTAAAAAATCTTTAACTGGTTAACATGTTAACCATTTTAACCGGTTAATTAACCAGTTAAAAATTAACCAGTTCCAACCTCTAATATGATAGATGGTAATTTATTTTATTGATTATTAGTATTTAATTATACTTGTTACTATAATTTAAAGTCAACTAAATTTTTTATTTAAAAAAATAATTAATAATATGATAGATTGTAAGTTAGTTTTATTGATTATTAGTATTTAATTATATTTATTATTGTAATTTAAATCATCTAAATATTTTATTTAAAAAATAAATTTTATTAGTTAGTAAGTTATTTTTATTGATTATCAGTATTTAATTATACTTGTTACTTTAATTTAAAGTCAACTAAATTTTATTTAAAAAATAAATTTTATTAGCGAATAAGTTATTTTAATTGATTATCAGTATTAAATTATACTTATTACTATAATTTAAAGTCAACTAAATTTTTTGTTTAAAAATTATTTATTAGAAAGTAAATAATTTTTAAATTTATTAATTATAATTTGAGCATATTTTTCTAAATAATAATTTTATAGTATTAATATTATAATTATAATATTTACTAAATAAATATATTATTAAAATATAATAATAATATTTTATATTAATAAGGGATTTGTTTAAATTGTAATAAAAGTAATACTAGATATGAATGGTATAAAGAATGTTATTCTAATTTATTTTTAACAAAGTTTTTCTAATTGGACTAGTAAAAATAAATTTATTGATGAATTTATTCAAAATATTCAAATAAATGCTCAAAATAAAAAGCAATTATTAAAATGGATTCCTTATAATAAATTTAAAAATATTGTATATTCTGATAAAGAAGGTTTTAGTATTATATATAAATCAACTTGGACTGATGAATTTATTATATCTTATAATTTTAACAATAATAAATGGATTAAATATGGTATTTCTGATATAATTCTTAAATGTTTTATTAAATCATCAAATTTAAATAATAAATTTTAAATAAGGTATATTAATATTATATTTAATTTTAAATAATAAATTTTTAAATTAATCAAATTAATTTATTTTTTATTTTAATGAAAACATCATTATAATAGTTGTAATCATTTAAAAAAATATTCAGATGAAAATCTTATTCAATTATATGGATTTACTCAAGATCTAAATACTCTAGATTATATAATAATAATGAAATATGCAAAAAATAGTAATTTAAAAAAAAATTTGTCAAATATAGTTAAGAATAAATGGATTATTAAATTATTACAATTAAATGATATTATTAATAGACTTGAGAAAATACATCAAAAGAATCTTATTCATTGTGATTTTCATCATAGTAATATTTTAAATATTAGAAATAATATTTTATCTATTAGTGATTTAAGATTATGTAAACCTATAGAGTATTTTCAAATATTAAAAAAAAATGAAATTTTTGATGTTTTACTATTTATAGCTCCTGAAGTTTTATGAGATCAACTTTATACTTTAGCAAGTGATATATATAGTTTTTTTATGATTATGTGGGAATTAATATTAGGAGTTTTTCCATTTAATAATAAAGCTCATGATTTTCAACTTAGTTTAGATATTTATAAAGGCAAATGTTCTAAAATTATTGAGAATATTTCACAATGTTATATAAATTTAATAAAAAAATGTTGGAATATTGATCTATTAAAAAGGTCAACTGCATTAGAATTAAAGATTATTAATAAATGGATTAAAAATATTAAAAATGTAAATTTTGATATAGAATTAAAAGATGATATTATAGATTTTTATAAATCAGATATAGCATTAAGTTGACTACCAATCTACGAAAAGGGTTTTAGAACTAATTTGGATTACGATTGAAGCAGTTATTAAAATATACTTACAAAAAAGCAAGGTTAAAATTGAAGAAATATTATCTTATCCTGCAAATGAGAGAATATGCTTAAGAATATGATACTTATACTATGAATAGTTTACAATATAGAAAACTCATCTTACTGGAATACGCTGTAGAAATTATGAATTACAAAAATTTGGATTAGCAGCTTTTACTCCACTTTTTCTTACTGCAGGAAAAAGTAATTATGCTACTTCTGTTACACATTTTCTTGCAAATTTAGAAAAATATCCACTGCTAGAAAAAAAACTTCGTCTTTGTACTTTTATAAATTTAGCAAGAGAAGGACATTATCCTGCTTTTGACGAAGTATTAGAAACTCACAGTGTTGCTTATATTAAGCAGAATATTACTAAAAATTCATGTGATCAAGAAAACTTAGAGTTACAAATTAAAGCAATTCAAGAAGAAAGAAATCGAATAGATTATTATTAAATAAAATTCTAGATACTTACACATATCAATGAAAGGATCGTAATATAAATAATCATATTGAACTATTATAGAAATTAGTGCATGATTTATTAGAAGTATTTAAAATGAATAATCTTATTAATCATGACCTTTTCAAAAAAACTCCCCACCCCAATTGAACCAAGAAAGATTAATAAGAATAAACTAAACATATATGGATGGATTAAAGAGGATCAAGAAAATTTATTGGCAAGAAGTAATAAAAACTGAAGCAATTAATACTAAAGGAAGAAGGATATTGTCAATAATGAAAACTAAAATTTCAGATTTGTCAAAAATAAAAAACCAAGAAAAAATACTATACCAAAAAATAATGGGAATCAATCATCTGATATGTTGCCTATTTAATTTAATGAACAAGATCTTCAGTTAGTTAAAGGTAATTTAAAAAGAGCAAATACTAAATTAGATAACCAAGAAAATGTTGAAAATGAGTCTCGATCAAAATACCAAAGAACTATAATAACTGAAGAAGAAAAACAAATCTTAAGTTACTTGTTACAAAAGGAAACAATACTCACAGAAGCCAAAATTAATGAAGTTTTAAGTAAACTGTTACAAGAGCGGAATATCCAATGCATTAAAAGGTATTGGAATAATAATATTAAACATAAAAATTAAAGTAAATAGGTAATACCTTTTTTCTAAACCAATTAAAAGGTAATAAAATCGATTTGTAATATTGAAAAAGTGCATTTCTACTATGAAAAAAATGTTTTTACTTATATAAAAAAAATTAAGTGTGTAAACTAATTTTATAAAATAAAGTAAATGTAACCAGCATATCTTTTTACATATATTTTAGCTACTATTAACATTTAATAACTTGAAATTAAAAAAGATCTTGAGAAAAAGGATTAAAATAATGAAAAAAGTTTGAATATTTTGAATTTCGATTTTTAATTAATCAATGTTCAAAAAAAAGAGAATCTAATACCTAAAATGGAAGTCAGAAATTGATTTTGAATGAAATTTTAAAGATTAATATTACACAAAATTTTAATAATTAGTAAATTAGTATAATTGAATTTGTCTGATAAGTGTTATATTAATTGTTTTGAAACTCAAATAACTAGCTTACCAAATAAACCTAATTCCTTAATAGAAATCTACCCTTCATATTTAAAAAATCAATAA